ATTTAATAGTTTATTTATTAATAATAATTAATAAAAAAATGCAGCTCACACTGGGCTGGATAGTTTCATATTTGAACAGCTGCTCTGCGTAAGGAATTACCAGGATACTTTTTAAAAAAAATTACCTTTCCCTTTCTTGGTATTTTTCAGATTGTAAAATTTTAAATTTTACTACTTGTATTTTTTAATAAAAAAAATTAAACTATCTGGCACCAATGAAGTTATCAACTTACACATGCAGATCAGGTCATATTTCCTGATGGTAAACAAATCAGTTAGAAAAAATAATAACGACTTGAGTATCTAATACACATTTATGTTGCAAAATCCAATGTTTGAATATGAACATGGTCAGCAACATAGAGAAGTCCATCTCTAATTATTCTGCTGATAAACTTAAATAGGATTTTATACTCCTTATGTTATTGATGAATGGGAATTGATACAGATGTCATCTGACAAGAAGGTGGGATAAAAGAATGTGTTGTATGCGCTTTTGCACAATGTACAGTTTGACTTATCTATAGAAAGGCTGTTATTATTCCCTCTGAAATAATTCTTAGAATCCTTAGAACAGTGAAAACAAAACATACTAGTAGTCAATAGTTGGGCTATCTTTTTTAAAAATCAAATAATTTATCTCTCTTGCTTAAAAGTAATTCTTCATATATATTTTTAAAACAAAATTATTTAAGCTTCATACACTAGCAGCACCTTTCAGTTTTGCAGTTAGTGAGGAACCTGAGAGCTAGCTGTCACACTGATACTGTTGTGCCAGATCCACAAGTACAAGAACCTTGGCGGGGATTTTCAGCCTGAATATGAGAGCAGGCAGCAATCTGCATGAATGGATTCTGAAAGGTAAGGTGCAAGAAAATATTTGAAGGGGTCAAAAAATGAAAAGAAAGACAAAAAACCCCCAAAACACAACAACAACAAAACCCCCTAACTAGCCAAACAGAAAAATCCCAGTGTATCTTACAAGGTATTAAAAAAGTCCTTCTCATTTACCTTAAATTTTCTGAACTGAATTCTGACTCCAGGAACTTGAGAAACTGCTCTCTTCCCACGGGGTCTTTCAAAGCTTCATCCATTCCAAACCCCCATCGCTTCACCCTCTGCTGTCCCGGCTCTTTGCTACAGAAGAAAAAAACAACATAACTTACAATCAGCAATAATCCAGTACTCTAATTACCGTAACTTTTCACACGGATTTATTAGTCTATAGCTCTTCCCATCTAATGAAACTCTGAAGATGAAAAGACCCAAAGGACACTGCATGGGCCTTCCACCTCAGTACTTTTCTGCAATACCTCTGTCTGAAATCTTCATGTTTCAAGAAAAATCTGTTATACCTTCTTACTCCAAGAGAAGAAATAAAATTATATACCTTGCCTCCAGTTCCCAGAAAGTGGTGTCATCTGATATCCAAGGGTTTGAGGGATCAGGGGGCACAAGAAAAGGATCGTATTCCAAATACTGCTCTGTGTACGCTAATAGACTAGGAAAACAAAAGCATCAAATGTCATCATGTCAGGAGATGAGGAAACCTGATCAGGTAATCCCAGTTAACCCCAGTTCAGTCACCAGTTGAACCATGGCAACTGGGTGTGCACATACTCTGATGTCAGCTACAAGAGTAGGTTTGCTCAAGCCTTTTAAAAATGGAAGACTCAAAAAGCAGGGGTAGCTCAGGTCTTAGCAAGGGCTGAAGCAAAATAAACTACAATCTTCCCTGACACTTCCACATAGCTCCTTTTAGGGCTCTTTTGGGCACTAATAAATTAAATCAAGCAACCTCTTCCATGCACATTTGCTCAATAAAGAAACATGTTTTATAGCCTTACAGTTTTAATTATCAGTTCCTTTAATATCTGTTCTAAAACACTGCATGCTATTCAGGTTGCATTAATTGACCACGCAGCTGCTGGGACTCCTTCTTTCCTCTTTTAAATACAGTGAATATTATTTTATTTCCTAATTAAATGGCACTACTCCCAAGTTTATTGCTTTCCATAAAAAACCCTTTTTTCTTTTCCAAATTCTTCATTATCCATTAATTGGTCTGACTCAGTTGAATGCACTAAAATCTTTGCTTGTATTCTGGTAGTTTACATCTCTCATGCCTTTATTCCAGCTTTCCATGCTTTCTTTTGACTCATAATTATGGAAAAACTATTGACAAGTGAGGACAAATAATTTTTTCCTTTCATTCCTATTTGTGTTATATTTAGTCTGTATTCTATTTTTACTGTTCAGCAAATACAAATTCTTAACCTTTTCTCCTTAAATACATATATATATTTATACATAAATAAAAGCATATCTATATGTGTTTGTATGTGCATGCATATATACACATTTATAAGTACACACACATGCACAAACACATATGATGAAGAACCATTTGTATTTGGCTTAATTTCCTTTACCAAGTCTTATGCAGCTCAATTTTCTGCAATATTCACTACCTCTGTATTTGATGTGTAAGATAATGCATGCTTTTTTGGGTCACCTTTTATCAGTAAAAGAACTTCATATCTCACACTTCAGTAAACTCTCATCAGTTATTTCTATGACACCTGAGCTCCCTGGTCTCTCTTTTTATGAAACTATTTCATACTGATGTTTTCCCAATAGTTATCCATCTAATTGAAACAGAAACTGTGACAATATACTTACCTCTCTGCAACTTTTGACATTTTTAATCTATGTCTGTCTAATTGCATTTGCCAGTGCTTAATCTGCAAGAAAGGAAGGCAAAGTGTTATGAGTAATTAATTGCTTGAATTTATTTCCATAACTTTTTTATTAGGAATGTAATTTAATGTCAATTTATCCTAGGGCACAGAAGAAAAATGTATCTGACTTAAAACAACATTTCACTAATGTAGTTCTAAAATAAATGGAATTATCCATCAAAGAGAAAAGATCATACAGAGACAGAAAAAAGGACCCAATATAACATTTTTCCTAAAGGTTCATCAGCTGAAATCCAATTATCATTTTTAGATTTTTTAAGAGAACTACTAATTCTTCAGACATTTACCTTCTCCCAGTTCTAGCACCTCAGGAAAGACTAATGAAGCATGAACAGTAGATAAATGTATAAACCCATATGAGCATACATGGAGAAGTAAGTATACCCCAGAACCTTGAATCAGTGTTGAAAAGAAAAGTGAGCTGTCCCCTGCTAAAGGGGTTAATGGGATTAGCTATGCAAAGAACCCACTAACTGGCATGATGCCTTTAAGTGTTTAATGCAAGATACAAAAAATGTCACATTTTGTCTCATTAGTCTTAATCAAAGTTACATTCCCAGATCCATATCTCCTGAAACAAGGAAAAGGCTTCCTAGATTTGTTCTGAACATACTTTCCCATTACAATAATTTCGGGGTCAATACCCAGTTTTCTAAAAGTTTGTTTAAAAGTACACATTTGCAGTTATTTGTCAAACCTCTTGGTGTAGTTCATCTTCTGTGGGTGGCTTGGTCTCCGGTATTGGTGTGTGGGTAGGGCTGTGACTTCGAATGTCATTTTGTAAGCCATAGACAGACTATGCAAAAAACATGGAACAATGATAGCTGCTATCAATCAATGCTTTCTACAAATACCCATAGTAACTGTGATGTTTTAGTACAGTGTGCTCAAGAAGTTAGCCAAGATCATCTTTATCTAAAGAAACTGCAAATAAGCCATGTACTCAGATAAAATTGTGCTTCTATATCATGAGGTAAAATAAAGACTTCTCAAAGTCCCCAGTTTCATAATGCTATAGAACACAGGATCTCCTTTTATTATGTCTGTATATTAACAGCATAGTAAGCATGGGGGATGACACTGAGAGGCAGCTATTACTTTAAATGGAGATGACTGGTAGGAAAAGAAGAAACAGTAACCATAAAGGTAGACTACCACGATGGATTATTTGGATGACTCCCAAATTTGCAATTACTGCTTGGTGAATTACACTAATCTGAACCTTTCACTACCATAAATAAGCTAAGCTAAAACTTTCTCTAAATCCACTTTCCTTTTTAAAACATATGTTTCCATGGGTTGACATGAAAATATATGTCAAAGAGAATACTTTCAAGTTGAAGTCAATCTACATTGTTATGATATAAAGGATTTGAAACAAACTGTTCCAATCCATCTATAGATCCCTAGAGAATCTACACGGTTCATGTGGGGATCCTAATTTAGGTGAAGCTAATTTCCTTTTCAATTTCTGGTCATCCATTTGGGGCACTGTAAACTAGAGACACCCTTTTCATTAGGACCAACACAAGAAGTACTGCTGTTATAGTTTACACTGCATTTTTAATATATTTTTCCTTAACTACTGACAGAAACATTTTAACATTCTTTATTCAATCTACTAAACAACATGAATAAAGCAAGAAAAAAATAAATTTTATTTTCATCTTCTCTATTTTTCCAAAGCCTTTATTACATGATAGCATTTACTAAGTATTAATAAATTTGTTAATACTAATTCATTGGAGAGCTTATGAAATAATGACATATGTTCATGTATTTATTTGTTGCAGCTGTAAGAAAAAATCATTTTAAGAAACTATGGAACCTCAAGCTATAAATAACTTACATCTCCTGCTTCTGAAACAACAGTGCTTACCTTTCTTGTTTTATGTGGATTTCTCATTCTTGAAGATTTTTTTATATCCACTTCAGTAGTGTTTACACATCCAGGCTATCAAAAGAAAAAAGAAATGAAAGCACTAGGATAAAATCTGTGAAGGAACTCTGTATTATTTTCATTGGGATAGTCCTCCTCAGTTTGTACGGCTAAGAAAATAAATAACTAGAGGCATATAATAACTTGATGTCATTCTGCAGTAGTCCGTAAAAGCTAAATACCATAGAGTCTTAGGAAGCATTTCAAGTACCATTTTGTCTGGCATATTGTAAAAGAGATTCTTTTGCTGTTCAGCCTTGTTTGCCGGAACCTATGATGGTTTTTAGGACAAGTTTTACTGTATATCTTTATGTTGAAAGTACTGAAAGCAATGTACAGAGGAGCAGAAAATATCCAAATGCATTTTACAGGACACAGCTGCAACATAGATGGGTACTAATCCAAATTACATTGCTATTGGCAGTACTTGGGAATCTTGGAGTGAGACAAGTATGCAGAAGACTGCATGCTTAAAGACATCTCATGACATAATGAATTTGAAGTAAATTCTGAAGATAACAGAAACAAAACACATATTTCTGCTTTGGTTTTGCTGAGGAAGCCATACAATGTGCATTTTAGCCTTTGCTCGAAGAAGCATGTTTGACCTACTGAGTAGAATTGCAGAATTAGTAGAATTGTGCAATACCAACCTCAGCTGTAAACTCCAGACTCCCTTCAGGAGCATCAGGTTTTGACTCACTGTTTTAAAGAAGATAATTTTTTTTTAAATATGAAAAAAATAAGCAATAATGGGTTTTGTTTCTTCAGAATTTTTTTTTAAAAGATCAACAAGTAGCCTAACCAGAAGACTGGCAGTCTAAGCAGAATGACCCTTGACAGATCTGATTTTGCCTTCAAAGAGTCATTCTCACAACTCTGTAGCATCTCCAAGGACACAAGTCCTCTAGTTTCTCCTAATTCATCTTCCTTTGATACTTCCTTCTTAATATAAACTCTGTGCAGAAATCTGTTCTTTACTTGTTGCTGGGAACAACTAATCCTAAGTGTTATGCTCTCAGGTGAGTTTTACCTATTGATTTTAAAGGGATTATATTTGCCACTGAGACTGGGGAGTACAAAATCAACACTCTAGTGGGAGCAGATTTTTACTGAAAGTAGGTTGGGGTTTTTTAATGGGAGTAGCTAGATGGAGAATTTACTTGCCAGACAACCATGCTGGACTGACTAGCACATTGATGATAAAAGGTTTGTCTTCTTATCATGATGTAAAATGCTTGATGCGGTTGTAACTCTTCACAGACAAAAATTTTTAAGATTTCTTAGATAGGCAGATCCAAGAAACAAATACATCTCACTAAACAGGCCAATGGTACTTTCCCTGGGAAAATACTTTAAATAACAGACTGATTTTTTTCAGCCACTATGATTTTTAAATTAATAAATATTTATTTTAAAGTAACACATTAATGTGTGTTTGATCATATTGCATTTGCAGTATAAACAGTTTCTCATCACTAAGAAAAAAACAGGCACTTAGATAATATTCTTAAGACTGCACGTGACATGCCTATTGAGCTAGATTTGGAAAGGCACAATTTGTGCTTGTGAACCAAAATGGTAGTTTTTTAACTCAGAATAGCTTGTAACTCTCAAAGACAATGACAGGTCAAAAACCACAAAATTCTGCATGATAGTAAATTTAAATGCAGGAAACAATTTCCTAGGACAGTATACTGAGATATATTCCAGTACCTGAAGAGGACTTTCAAGAAAGCTCAGGAGGGACTGTACAAGAGCGCAAAGTGATAGGCAAGGGGCAATGGTTTTAAACTTGAGCAGGGTAGATTTAGATTAGACATCAGGAAGAAGTTCTTCACTTTGAGGGTGGTGAAATACTGGAACAGGTTGTCCAGTGAGGTGGTGGAGGCCTCATCCCTGGAGACATTCAAGGTCAGGCTTGATGGGGCTCTGAGCGACCTGATCTAGTTAAAGATGTCCCTGCTCACTGCAGGAGGGTTGGACTAGAGGACCTCTAAAGGTCCCTTCTAACCAAACACATTCTATGATTCTATGAGATAAAGTTAAAAAAATATGACAGTGCATCTACTTTAAGATTATGGCAGCAGCTAGCAGTGAAGAAGACATGGGTTTTTAACAGTATCTTGAGCCCTTGAATGCAGCCATTTGAATAGCGGACACACTTATGTAAGGCAGAAACTGTTGTTTGTTTAGATTTCAGTTATAGTTTGTTAAAAACACATCTTAAAAATGGAGGGGGGGGAAATTAAAAAAAAAAAAGAAAAAAGAAGAAAGCATAAACCTCACCTCAAGCCTCTTATTTTCAAGGATTTCAAGTCCACCAGCAGTAAATTGGTAGGAAAAGATCTAGCACCTTGCCCAAGTAACTCACATGGGTAGATTGATGCAAGGGACACAAAAAGAAATCCTGAGAGATTTTTAGGAAAGAAACAAGAGTGAAGTTTTTGCTGGTTGGAAAGAGACACAACCCAATACTTCCACCACATCTACTGGGTTCTTATGGACCCGTGGCTGCTTCAAACCTCTCATGTGGCAGTGAAGCCACTGTGGATACTGCAGCAGGGACATGCACGAGAGGCTATGAGGGCAGAACCTGCACCAAGGTGTGACTGAATTAAATTATATCACTGGAAGCACCTACTGTAGTCAGGGCCACAACTCGTGCCGTCTTCTCAGCTGAAGAGTATTCATGAAAATGATGCTTCATATGAGATGGGATTTATTGTTTCTCTGGTGTTGCCACATTTATCTGTCAATTTTTAGGAATAAATGCCAAACATTTTCTCAATTAAAACAAACACAAAAGCTTGTGTTATTTGAACATTTTGTTAACATAACTCAGAGTCTTTGTGGGAAAACCTTTGCTGGACAACATTTCATTTTATTCATATGCCCCTATTAACATAATAAGTATGTGTTTGGATACAATTACATCCAGCTGTGTTTTGTTTTTGTGTTGCTGCTTTAACTGGACTACAAGAGTTCAAATGGTGAGATGCCTGTCAGAGTGCTTTGCTGCAAGATTCCCATTAGTGTGTAGTATATAATTTGCATACTAATACTGTAAATAGTTTTCAAACAGATTTCCTGGAAGACTTGAAACTTCTATATGGGTAAATGGAGTGCTTATTTCTTTCAGGACTAATAATCTGTATGAAAACAGTTCCCTCTCCACACACACAAAGGAAAGTCTTGTGACCTTGTTGAAATTATCATACAGCAAGACTATATAAAGGGTAGAGTTTGGCCTTCATCTGTTTTTAAATCACTGGTTGAAGAACTGTCATATATTCAAAGGATCTGTTAGCCTGCCCTTACCTCCAAGTACAAATGCCATTGTATTAATTTACAGCAAAGGACATGTCAGTCCAATCATCATAGATTCACTGCTGAGATAAATGGAAGCAGATAAATAGTATAAAAAAAAATGTATGGAATATTTTTTTAATCCCTACTTCAATTATTGGATAATCTCATTCATTTGAACTCCTAGCAGCACAACTTTCTATTGATGCTGTCTGGAAGGCTGCAAAATAGGATTCTGCCCAGAAACAGCATGGAAGAAGGAAGCCTCCTCTGCAAGGAGAGGAGGTCCAAGAACTCCAGGCCCAAAAAATATCTGTTTGGATCTGGCTACAGCCACCATTTGAAAACAACAACCACCACCACCTGAGAGTACGTTTACTTTAAAAAAATCCACATGATATTCACAATCTTTCCCTGATAAGTGTGGTAACGGTGAGATAATTAACTAAGCCCTTGTAATAGTGCTGACAATTAATTAATCTTTCGACACCTGTAGCAACTCTTTGGAAGAATTTGTTGTTTACAACAAATGGGATGCTTTAGCCATGCTACATTTCCATCCAAGCAGTGCAGAATACCTAATATTTATAGTCTGTTTGCTGTACAAAGTTGCACACTCTGAAAGCCCTTTTTATCTCCTGGCCACAAAGCAAAAATCAATTGATGTCAACATATTTTTGTGTAAAAATCTCTTTGCTAAGATGTACTCAAATTCCAGTAAGTGTGAAATCCTTAACAGAAAATGAATTAATGTTTATAGTGACATCAGTTAAAGTTTTGATTTTTTTTTTTACTTTCCTAAAATTTGCCAATTTAACTGGGAATCTACTTAAACTGGAATCACCAGAAGTCTTCTTGCATCTGAGACAAATCCAGCAATGTATGTGGGAGGGAATAAGCTCACACATTGCAATAGGCAGGGAACTGCCTGTCTATATTTCTGCTCTGTAGAAAATTATGAGAGGCAGAAGCTGAAGATGAGTCAGCAGCATGTCCTTGCAGCACTGCATTCAAAGCCCATACCCAGCTGCATCAGCAAGAGCAAAGCCAGCAACCTAAGGAAGCGGTTATTCCTTTCTGCTCAGCATCATGAGGATACTTCTGGAAGACCAACACTAGTTTTGGGCCCCACAAACAATACAAGAAATATATTCAAAATGCAGAAGTCCAGTGGAAGAACAGACTTTTTTTCTGCTTGCAAAAGAGGAGAGCTAACTGCTTAAAGGGGGCTTGCGGAGCTAGACCTGTTAAAGAGGTGCACCACAAAAGGAGGGGAGGCCGTAATCAGAAATTGCAGTAAAGGACATTCCAGTTAGCTATAAATAAATATTCTTCATAATGAAGGGATGGAGTTTTTTAAGAGAAGTTGTGGAATCTCCATTGTTGGTGATTTTCAAAGCTGGTTTAATCAAGGGCCTGGACACCCTTACTCAACTTAAAGTTAGCACTGCTTTGAGCAGGTGGTTGGACTAGAGGACCTCCAGAGGTCCCTCTTGGCCTACATTTCTGTGGTAAAGCCTAAGATCTTCACAAGCTGCAGGGACTGAAATTCAAAGAATCCACTTCACAGTGCACTCCCATCAAGTATACAGAGCAGTGTGAACTTCATCACCTGGTCTTCCCCTCCCCTCAACAGCAAAACAGAAAGACAAGATCGATACTGGCTATGGTGTGTACTCAACCCATACAAACAAACCCATGGATGA